GGGTCTGGTGACACATTTGGATTTTATTTATTTATTGCTTAGAAACCAAAGGTAGTGTTAGGGACTCATGCCTAACACAAATTCCGTAGTAATCATGAGTGCAATCCAATGCCCAATGCCTCATGATAGCTATGGCTCATTATTAGCACTAGGCCCACTAGTGCTAATAATGAGCTATAGCTATCATGAGACTGTGAAGTGAGTTCCTCCATTCCCATTACTGTGAATAGTTCAGTAACCCATTCATTAACTGAGGGGACTGTTAGAGTGCCCAGATTTCATGGTAGCATTTTTCTACTTATTTATCAAATGATAATCATTAAGGTGAAAAGATTTCCAAGTATTTATCAGCATAAGGTTACTGCTAGAGGCCTCACACTTATAATATTCAAAGCAAGCCTATCATGAGAGAAATACAAGGGGGCTTCCATTGCTGACCTCGCTTTGAAAATGCTAGTTGAATGACTGTAATGTCCCACGGGTTCCTGGCTCCTCCCGACTGCGTTCCAGGCTGGGGCGCATCGGCCGCGGTGACCGCCGCACTCCTCCTCCTTGACGGAAGTACTATGCGTTCCAAGCTGGAACGCGGAAGTAGCCCACGGCCGCGTGACGTCACGGCCGCGGGCTATTTAAACCTGCCAAAGATGCTGTGGGGTGTTCGATGATTGGGATCATAGCCCAAACACCCCCAGGAACCTCACCAGCCGCCTCGAACCTCTCCTCACGGATCCAAACAGCTCCCCAGCAGCCAGCTTCCACTGGACTTCTCTTGGAGGAACCTGATCGCTCATACCACCAAACCGCAAGTATCTGATAGATCTACCTTGCAAGTATCTCGGCTCATATACGCTGCCCTCTGGTGGAGACTTTGGGTATCACCTCTCTCATTTTGCAATACTATTACCATTTATGCTGTGTGAAGGGGAGATCTGCTGTTATCTGTCATAGAGACTTTACCATCCGCTTATACCACAATTCCAGATAGGATTGCCAACATCAGGGATATGAGTTAATATTCTTTATTACCTCGACAGTTATTACCGATTACTATTTAGCGGCCCATGATGACTAAATCCCCAACTCTCCGTTTATGATTGAGAGAGCCGCCGGGGATTTTAGCCTGACAA